TTCTCATAATTGTCTCTCATAATCACCTTGTCGCCCACTGAAGGTCACAGTGTCTAAGATAGAGATCAGTTTTTTTTTCTTTTTAACTAATTTTGTGCATGCACTAGTAACTCCATCTTTTTAGCGAGTGACTCTCCTTAGAGTGGCTCTAGAAAATTTGTCGCGTATAGAGCAGCGGTCTTGTGGTAGTCACACTCGTTGTGGCTTCTGAAATTTGCTAGCACGTTCGTCCAATGTGTGAATGGAGAGGGGACCAAGTTTGCATCAAGAACTTTCTTTTCCAAAAAGCATACATGTCTTGCTTCCTCCTCATATTTGGAATACTCCAGCAGCCAGGAAAATATTTCGTGCCAGTTAGGTTGTAAACTCAGTTTGCGCTTGCTAACTGAGGGAAAGCTGTAGTGAGAGCCTGGTTTCCATGTCGTCATTAGCAAACGTCGTCTAGTCTCTTCGTGCTGCAACTCCTGGCGTCTTGGCCCGTTAAACACGTAAAGAGCAATGTCGTCAGAAATCGTGGTTGCCGTGCATGCATCATGCTCCGATCAGTTTTCGGGAGTTGTTACAACATACGAGTCATATTCAGGCAGTGCAGAACTACAGCTGGGAACTAATTCTTCGGCTGCTGTAGCTTTTTCACCAGTTTTCGAGTGTGCACTGGGAGCAGCGTCGCCTTTCGGGAAGTATACATAAAGCGTTGCCTTACGGCGTTTCGGCACGACTATCGAGTCTCATCGCGGGGTGCTGATTGACGCAGAATGCGAACTACCCAGCAATACATGTAGGTAGCGTATTTCAAGGGGGTGACTTCGCATTGCTGGGAAGCAACACTCTCAGCAAGGTTCGGGCAGTGACGTTAAATGCGAGGAACGAGAACTTTACCAACGATACATGTCGACTGGTAAAGTTCCACTTTAAACACTAGCTCTCGTTTCTCCCCTGGCGGAAAGATTCGTGGGTATACATTTACTCCGCTTCCCTTCAGGTGCCGGTAGGGTCGTGCTCGCTTCTTATCTTACTCTGCACACGAAACGTCTCGCGTTTGTGATTGCACCCTTATGGAAGTCTGGTAGTTTCTGCTGCGTTGTGATCACACACTACAAACGTGATAGAATGCAAAGAAGTTGATGCCAGCAGCAAAATTCCAGCGACTAGCATCAGAATTCTCTAAACGGACAACCACCAAGCATGGATGGTGCACAGTACTGCGTAAGTAAACTCGTGTTGCTTGCGCTGGCAGCTCTCGCCTGAGTTCACGTGTCATGAGAAATTTATTTTGGTGTACTATGCTCTGAACAAGACGGGAGTTCATTTCTTCATCACTAGTTAACCGATCACTCGAGATTTTGTGTGGTACATGGCTGCTCTTGTTTGCGCTGCCGTAAGTGCTGCAAACATGAATGCACATGCTATAGTTACAATAATGCATACATAGCGTAGCGCATGGCATATCAACACTGTACTGTGAAATATTCTATACGGTTCTGAATCTGTTGACGTAAAAAGAAATGACGGCTGTACGCTTGCAAACAGTAGAAGACACCGCCGCAATGGTATCGTTTCAGGGAGCAGAGCGGCGAAAGCTACGAAAGAAAAAACCTAGAACATTACGTGTTTTTGCGCGTATTGAAGTTTTCTAGCGTATATAGGCACCAAACACGCTATTTATATTACGGAACTACTGAAGAAGGACATGCCTTTTCATTGGGGTACTGACCAAACAACTGCCCTCAGCACTCTTACAGCCTTACTTCCCCACCCGTCTTGGCCCATTTTGACCCGTCGGCCCATACTGAAGTTCGTACTGATGCCAGCGGACATGGAATCTGTGCTGTTCTCGCCCAGCAGCAACGAGGACAGGATCGCGTCATCGCTTATGCCAGTCACCTCCTTTCTCCTTCGGAGAGCAAGTTTTCCATCACAGAGCATGAGTGCCTCGCACTAGTTTGGACAGTTGGAAAATTTCGACCATACTTGTTTGGCCACACATTTTCGGTATTTACGGATCACCATGCCTTGTGCTGGCTGTTGTCCCTTAAAGTTCCAACTGGACGACTTGGCCGTTGGGCCTTGAAACTCCAAGAATACAACTTTGACGTGGCGTTACAAATCTGGCCTAATGCACCAGGATGCCGACTGTCTATCCCGTCACCCCGTGGACCCACTCGACCTTTCAGCACATGATTCTGACCCTTGTGTCTTTTCCATGTTTGCTTTCACTGACATACGCAAGGAACAGCTCAGCGATGTCCACTCGCGGTCTATCATGCAGAGTCTACGTTTGCCCCACGTAGACTCGTCGCTACACTTGTTCGTTCTACGCGATGGCATTCTTTACCGACGCAACACCAGCGCCGAGGGACTAGAGCTACTACTCGTAGTTCCTGCGACACTCCGTTTTGCTGTTCTTAAACTGCTTCACGACGCCCCAACTGCTGGAAATCTCGGGGTCATGCGCATGTACGATCGCGTGCGGTGTAGATTCTTCTGGCCAGGCCATTACTGTTCTGTGCGCCGATACGTTCCTGCTTGTGAGTCCTGCCAGCACTCCAAACATTCCACCTTGCCACCAGCTGGTCCGCTCCAACCAACGGACATACCCACCGTCCCCTTCTATCACGTCGGTCTCGATCTCGTTGGACTATTTCCTACTTTTCTCACTGGAAACAAGTGGATAGCCGTAGCCACTGACTACGCCACAAGATACGCTATCACATAAGTGCTATCAACAAGCTGTGCCACTGAAGTTGCGGACTTCTTGCTTCATGACGTAATTCTTCACCATGGCACTCCTCGACAGCTGCTGACGGACTGTGGTTGCTTATTTCTTTCAAAAATATTAAGTTACATCCTTCGCTCGTGTTCAACGGGTCACAAGCTCACTACGGCCTACCACCCGCAAACAAATGATCTTACCGAGCACCTAAATCGAACCTTGACAACAATGCTCTCCATGTATGTTTCCAAAGATCACCTTGATTGGGATAGTACTTTGCCTTATGTGACATTCGCATACAATTTGTCACGTCACTACACCGCTGGCTTCTCCCCCTTCTATTTATTGTTCGGCTGCCATACACGTTACCCTTCGAGACTCTTCTCCCATCAACTACAAACGGTTACAGAGTGCGCCCGGGATGTCACTGCTCGGGCTCAAGTGGCCCGCCAAATTGCACGAGAACGTCTTCTTAGCTCGCAGCAGAAGGCCCGCTACGATAGCCATCACAAAGTAGTTTCCTACTCTCCAGGTTCACTGGTCCTCCTCTGGATGCCGCCACGTTGGCCTCACTTCGAAGCTCCTATCTCACTACTCGGGCCCTTGCAAGGTTTTACGCCGGCTTACTGAGGTCACATATGAGATCGCTCCGTTGGACAGTCAGTCCATCGTCCACACCCGCCACTGACGTCTTCCATGTGTCCTGTCTGAAACCATACATCTCCGCATATGATCCTACTCTCCTTAAGGCGCCGAGACAGCGCTACCAGCGGCAGCAGGGGATTATGTGTTACACAACATCGGCAAGGAAAGAGCATCAGGTAGATGATGAAGACAATGCGATCGCGCTCGTGTTATTGTTGCTGTTGTTCCGCCATCTTGACTGCAGCTGCCTCTGACCCTCCCTGTATATTTTGTAAATATATCTATTTCATTCATTCTCTCACCCCCGTGACAATATGCGAGTAGGTATAACCTGGTGCCAGGTGCATTTTTCGATTGGGACTAAGTGAACATTTCTCAACAATGATTACCTTGAATTTGCAGATTGCATGATAAAACCTTTACAATTGGAGTACTTTATTGCTATTGAAAGTCACAATGCAACTGTAATGTCAACCATGGTTGCAAGAAAGTCTGCCTGAAAAATTACGCGTGCGAGATCGTGTTGCCATCGTGCAGCAATATTTACAAAAAAAAAAAATACTTATTGCTTATCGCAAGCATGAGTGGATGCGTGCAGTAAACTAAAAAATGTTGACTAAAAGCTATTACTGCATCAGGGCTGCTTGACATATGGAGCTGAACATAAAAATCATTCCCATAGGCACGCAGTCACTCTCATTCTTCCTTGTAAGCAGAGCTGTCCTTGACTTGTGAAACACAGTTCACCCTGACGAGGACTATGCCATCTACGCTTAACAGAGATTAACAATTAACGATGTCTTCTCTGATCGGGCGGGTCATCGCAATGATGCGTTTTCAGACTAGTCCATTCATTGGTGCGACGAGAGGACGTTGCTCTAGAGGACCACTGTACCTGTCGTTTACTATATTTTACTGCTGTTACATTACTTTTACTACTTTGTACTTATTCTTCACAAGCATATACTTATAAGGGGGGGTTGTCCCGCCGCAGTGGTCTAGTGGCTATGGTACTCGGTTGCTGACCCGCAGGTCGCAGGATCGAATCCAGGCTGCGGCGGCTGCATTTCCGATGGAGGCGGAAATGTTGTAGGCCCGTGTGCTCAGATTTGGGTGCACGTTGAAGAACCCCAGTTGGTCGAAATTTCCGGAGCCCTCCACTACGACGTCTCTCAATCATATGGTGGTTTCGGGACTTTAAATCCCACATATCAATCAATCAATCAATCAGCATTGGGAGGGGTAGGGGTGTGGCAAGTCTCATGGCTTTGATATACATCTACACATTCTGCTCAAACTACCGCCGATAGTCACGTCACAGAGGAAAGCTGATGTCTGTGCCCCCCCCCCCCCCCCCCCCCCCGCGGGTCAGTGTGAAACCCCCTGAAAAACATTTCTGGCTATGCCCCTGTATGGCAATTCCAGTAGAAGGCCTCAAACTAATTACTTATGCAGCGTTGCACCCCCTTTTAGTAAACCCAAAGCTGTATTGCTTAAATACTGACAATTGACAGTAGAACCTATGTAAAAATATTTTATTTATTTTTTCAGTCTGTTTGAAAACTGAATATTTTGACAGCCTGCTGGGGTTTCTCATGCTGTGAACTTCCTCACTTAAGTTTTATATGAAATCTTCATGCAGGGTTACAACTGGTGCCACGATCGGAATGTAGTGACCATCTTTAGTGCACCCAACTATTGCTACCGTTGTGGCAATCAGGCAGCCATCATGGAGCTGGATGATCAACTCAAGTACTCGTTGTAAGAGAAAATTGCTTGTTTGTTTCTGTTATAATTGAATTAACACTCATATACTGGTGTAATACATCTCTGTTGCTCTTTAATGGACCTTGCTGTGGCAGCTTGCTGTATTTTGGCTGTTTTAGAAATAAGTGTCACAATTCCCGGTTTTGTGAATACTAATTTTCAGTCAAGCCATCGTAGGCACAATATTGTTTTTTTTTTTTACTTTCTTGATTCTTTTTTTGTGTGCTTAAACTTGTTACAACAAAGATAGTCCATTCAGTATGGAGGTGAGAGACCTTTTTGTTTCCTTTGGTGTCCTTGTTGAGGCTCCGTGACACCTGCATGGAAGTGTGGGTGTTATCAAAACGCAATGACACTGCTATGCCACTGTAGTGTGAAATAGTGTTCATATTGCTGAGCCTGTCAGAATGCAGAGGCAGCTTGTGATCAAAAGCATGATCTCCAGGATCAGTATTTTGCCAAACAGGGAAACTTCTAGCTCTTTTGCCTGTGTACAGGAACAATTCTTGGTTCAGGTTAGCAAAAGATTGTCCCCAAATACTGTAGTTATGACGCAATGACATAATGCCTGCCATGGTTGAGATTTTCAGCTCCTGGGCCATCTGGACACCCTGTTATTTGTAAATATGACCAACAGGCATGTCTGTATATGCCCTAAGAAAGCAGGAAACTGGCAGGCATATGTCAAGGGATGAGAAGGTACTTTTAGCTTTTTAACCTGTGTCCACTAAATCTTGGTTCAGGTCAGAAAGAAACAAATTTGTTAAGTGACTTATTATTAACTGTGTTCGTGTTGCAAGGCCCCAAGGGAGCAAAACAAGTATTATTTATATTTATTTACATTTCACCTACGTTGCCAAAAGGCATGTCGTAGGGGGAGGTAGAAATGAGGCACAAAATAACGCAAATAGCAATAGATATTACAATACCGAAGATACTATTATAAAAGTAAGAAGGCTTGAATATTGTGACACAAATTATAAAAACATCATAATCATGCATTTTAAAAATCACAATGCTTCGAGATAATAAACTATTGAGAGTAATATTGTGGGCATTGTACAGAGAGGAAATAGGCTCACCATCACTTTCATTGATAATGTCGTCTGGGAGATGGTTCCATTTCTGTATTGTTGTTACAAAGAAGGAACTACTGAAAAGTGTGCATTTTGTATGGGTATTCTAATATTTTTTGTTACTTAACAAATCAAGATGTATTTTAGTACTAAGAGATATTAATTCAGATTAATTGTATTGTAGTAAATACTATGAATAAACTTAAGCTTCCATTTTTTGTTGGCTGAGTATTGCTGATGATGATCTCAGATTATGCAGTCATAATCCAGATCTTACGTACATAAATTAGAGGGTTTGTTTCGTGGTTTGTGAAGCTAGATTCAAGTTTCTGTGTATGAAATGTAACATTATAGTATTTGTCTTTGTCAAGGTCATTTCTATGTGTTCAATCCAATTAAAATTGATGGAAAAATAGACAACCAAGTACTTATAAAGACTCATTACCAATTGTTGAATTGTTAATATTGTACATTGTTTCTATTTATGAATCCAGTTGGCAAATGATGTGCAGCAACATTTCTGAATGTTTTGACTTATTTTCCAGTTTTTACACCTTACTGATATTTTGCGCTAATTTCTTTGCAAAGTTTTGGCATCATTGTGTGATTTAATTTTTCTAATGCTATGCAGTCGTCATTGGTTGAATTATGGTGACATATACAGTAGAATATCGGTGATACGAATAAAAAAATTCTCTGGCTGAATTCAGTTGTGTCCAATGGGTCGAAATTTGGATGATTTGAACACCTCTGCGTCGAAGTGCCTGATATGAACTAGAGTACCAAACCCGTCAACTGACGGCTGAGAGCAGTGTGCTCCAGATGCATCGGAAGTACGCGAGCGCTTACAGTGCTTACAGTGGTTATCGTGCACCACAACCACTGTGGAAGAAACCGCCGTCACAATCGATGCAATCATATATGGTGACGATGAAACTTTTGAGGGTACGCATGCGTCTGCTGTTCACCAAGTTAAAGCCATGCTGCTCGCTGTAAACCATAGTGGACAAAACAGCGGAAGATGCGATCATCGATAGCAATGACGTAGCTCTAAAGGCACGTGGGCCTCCCGTACGCCATCATCATTTATGGCAACAGCTAAACTGACGAAACTTCGAAAGTACACATGCATTCAACGCTCACCAAATCAAAGGAGTGCTGCTTGATGCAAGGTCCACTGCAACCAAAATTGTGGCTGATGCGATCATTGGTAACATTGGCATAGTTCTGAATGTACACGTGCTGCTAATGCATACGTATTGAAAATTGAACTAATGTTTACATCATCATTTATGGCGACAGCTAAACTGACGAAACTTCGAAAGCACATATGCATCCAACGCTCATCAAATCAAAGCAGAGCTGCTTGATGCTAGGTCCACTGCAACCAAAATTGTGGCTGACGCGATCATTGGTAACATTGGCATAGTTATGAATGTACATGTGCTGCCAATGCATACGTATTGAAAATGGAACTAATGTTTACTGCAACCGCTGATGTACCAAAAACCACAGTCTCTTTTGACGCGATTATTGATGGCGACCACGCAGCTCTGAAGATGCACAACTGATGCAACAGTAGTCGTAAGTCGTAGTCAAAGTCGTAAAAAGGCAAGAAGCGTTTTGGTATTTGTATTATTAGCTTTTAGCTACGGTAGAGCAGACGTGGACTCCTAGTTTTCAGTAGGCCTCAAGTGAAGCTTTGACGCGTGCATTTGCTTGTGTCCCAGATAGACACACGCGAGTTCTTTTGATAGCAATAAGTGTTCTGTGTGCATATCGTCATTCAAAACCTGGTTTCATTAGTTTTGAGACAAATCATGAAAACTGCTGTCGTCCAGAGAAAGATGCGGTGCACATCGCTATCGAGACTGTGCATGTGTATGTCTTCAGAATAGATTCAAAGAAGCTGCGTCTTGTTGTGCCGAGGCAGTGTTGGCCTTGGACCACCTGAGCAAGGTTCATACACCCGAAGAGGCTGCTTATCGCGAGGATTGACCAGCTTTGATTTTGATGTCTTGCACAGCCATTGCAAGCTTCTCCTTTTTAGTGATAGCAAATTTTGGGTGATACGAATATTTTCACTCCCCCTTGAGATTCGTAGCGTTGAGATTCTCCATTAATGTGGAAATTTGATTGTACATGGTTTTCACTGTGTCAGAAAATATATTAATTGAATATTTCTTTTGGGGGGGAGGGTGTTCTTCTTCCAGCACTATGTAAGTAGGTTCACCTGCATCTGTTATCTCTGTTATTGCCAAGGTGCCATAAGGCATAGAGCTTGTTGCTGTTTCTGTTTACATCAATGTCATTTCTGTCTTGCCTTTCAGTCTCCAATTCGACCCCGCTCCTCGAAGAGGAGAGCCGCACGTCACCCGAAGAACACCCGACTACTTCCTTTAAGCCGTGTACCACATTGCTAGATGTTAACAAGTCTGTTTTGCTTGTATGCCAACCCCTCCCACCCTTCTGGTGATGCTACCTCCTGTCCTTGAGCACTGTACTCTTAATTTCACTTGGGAAGCACTTGTGATGATTTACATGCCTGCACCAGGCTCACACCAGCTCTTCTTACTTTCTTAGCGACTACTACCATTTATTGAGAAGAGTGAACAGGTTGCTGAAATGCAGAGTCTCTTGGCTGGTCCATTAGGGTACCAGTGCGTAAAGGCCTGGGAGATAGCTCCATTTTTTCCTTTTCTTAGCACTTCTTTTTTCATTGGTGTCCAATTCTGCATTGTTCTTTAAATAAAGCAGTCCTCTGCATTTTTTGGTTGGTAAAGCTTAACAACTGGCAAATTTGCACATAGTTCCAATGCAATTCTTACCCGAATTTTCCCAAACAACTTGTTTTCGAAGTTTGGTTTATTTTGCAAGGTGTGGAGGAGCCTGAGGCACTTCATTGAGAGAAAAACAATGCATTCATGCAAAGAGCCGCTGTTCATGTAATAGGTATGATGGAGGAGGCCATGAAATTTCTGTGGAAACATCTGATTGTGTATTAAGGCTCTATTGGAGTTTCTCCATGGGCCCAATGAGTGGAGATGGATGTCTGTGCAAGAGTCTTTATTGTTTGCAGCTGAACTTTATTTTTTTGCCACAAGCCATCAACAGAATCGTGTGTAATGAGAAAAGTGGCTGTTGGTGTGTGGCCTCTTGAGTGTTCATTGTCACACTGCTGTTAGTGCTGCTAGTATCTCCTGCAGAAACGCACAATTAAATAGCACTGCCTTTATTCAAAAGAAGAATTAATGGTATTGTGACATGTTAAAGTACTTTGCCACAATCCATGAACATTTTCACAAATCCTTTGTGGACCCCTGAGCAGAGACAGAATTTGCAACATTTGTAAACTTGCGTTTGTCGGGAAAAAAAAAAAAAAAACATTCGACAAGTCAAGCGGGATATAGAAGGCAATAAAATAGGCATGTATTCCCGCATATTTCTGGCACAATGTACTTTGCTCAGCTCACTGAAAAAAATGAAAGATCATGTACGTGTATTTGCACTGTATTAAATGTTTTCTGTTCGTGTTGTGACATGGGAAGAGTTGTACACCTTGTTGGCATTTGTATAGGATGCTGCGCTTTTTTTTTCCGTCACAATCAGTTTCGAAGCCAGAGATGCCAATTGTGTGACATGTTTTCAGAGAATGGATTTTTTAAATGGAACACCTTAAGCGGAATTTTTATGGAACGCGTTCGCCAACACAATAGGTTGATTTCACCTTGCACACTGCACATGTGCAGATCCTGCCGCTGCCATAATGCTTATATTTACAGCTATGCCAGCTTTCAATTTTCTGTATTGTCCTTGTGCTATAACCAAGAGCATTCCTAATGCAAGCTGTGTGGCCTATTATTCTAGGTTGGGTATTTTAAATTGTGTACGTGTTACGAAATGGAAGGAGGTCCTATAGTCGTCATTCAGGCCACAATATACTTACCACACGCACACCCGGCTGTAGCCGACGATGTTGAACTCGAGGTGAAATCAGTCTGTTGTATAAATGGAGGTGTAGTTTTTGTGTGACACAGTCACCTTCGCAATTGTGGAGTTGAAGGTGGTGTAGATTGTCCGCACAAGTTTGTTAGTGACCCCCCCCCCCCCTTTCCTACATTCTTTTTTTTTTTTCCGGCATGCTTCAGGAAGGTAGGGCGATGGAGCATTATAATAAATGAAATAAAATTGACCCCTCATCTGGACTCTGTTTCGTTATCTTGTGTGTTCTGGTGAGTGGTGTGAACCTTTAGTAGCATTAAAAAAAAAGGCCGATCCCAGTGAATGGGTAGGTGCCAGTGTTTGTAGCCCGAAATCCATGGCACATACCCACTCTGGGGGATTGGCCAAGAAAACAAAGTATTCTATGGACAATAACTACACCATTGCTTAGAAAAAAAGAAAATACAAAAAATGAAGGAAGGCAATATCAAAAAAGATTCAAGGAGGAAGAAAAAAAAAACTAGAAAATACTTGGTAATATAATAACATCGCAGGAGTTTCGTAGTCATTGTGTACCATTGGCGGTGTTTCGTCTGGTACGAATGTGGCCCGCGTGCCCGTACGGTAACGCGGGCGCGTGAATCGGCCGGCAGCCTGCTGTGGCCGCTCGCGGCTGCGCTCCGTTGGTCCGGGCCCCCGAGAAATTCTGAAACGCGGTTTCAATACAGGTCCTGTTCACGATACTCCTCATGCTTGCTCTGATGCTGTTCAAGCTCTTCGCGAGAACAGGTAAGTCTTGTCCGTCAAAACGGCCGGAGTTTGACGCTGCGCGCTCTCCGCCTTTCCTATCGGGTAGGGCGTACCTTGAGACGGAGGAAATCTTGAGCAGTCTCTTCCGAGCGTTGATCCTGCTGATGTCGTACCGTAAGCATTTTTTTTTTTTTTGCTCTGGCTTATACACCGCACTAACGCTTTTTCATAGGGTAAAAAAAAAAAAGCTGTTGGTGCTAGTGGCGCAAACGACGCAGTGCAATTTATTGTGCGTTCGGCATGTGTTGAGCTACTGAATGCTGTTCTTCCAACGTGGCCAGGTCTTGTAGTTCACCTGAAATCGCTGTCCCAAGGGCACGGCACCGGACGAAGACTCGTATTTTCAAGGTAGTTACTCATGTGGTCTTGCGGCGCAAGCACTTTGCCTGTCGCTTGCTCCTAGCAGACAAATTAACCTTTTTTTTTTTTTTTGTGGTATTTCCGACGCAGCTAAGAAGATGTACATAGAAGACTCAACAATAGGAGTGTTTGCGATTGCAGCTATCATGCTCGGCATACAGTCCAATCTCTGCTTAATGTATGGCAAGCTTGGTTAGTGTGTCTCAGTTATTTTATTCCAGCGTGTGCGCTGCACTTAGGCAAATAAATTTCTCATGCTTTCGCACAGATGATCAAGAACGTAAACGATATGTCAACCTCTACGCGCTGGCTGGCACACTGTGCGAATTTTTCGGATTGATGTACCTGTTGGGTGAGCATAATGGTGCTACGTTTCTGTCGCACGCATGGCGTGTTTCATTCATGCTGTTGTCTCGTCTTGTTCCAGATTTCGTTACTTCCAAGCAAACTGAATCGCTAAGGTAGTACCATTCGTGTTGCAACTTGGCACTTGTCCAAAAGGGCTATATAGAAGCAGCAGCATTGTTGCCGTGGTTGTTTTTTTTTTTTAAGATACATTTTACTGTTCCGCAGCATTCTGCAGTGCATTGTACCTTGAATGACCTCCGTTCATACGACTTCACAAAGTGTGGTCGTCCCGGCCAACCAGCAGCTGCAGGAGCTGAAGCCGCTGCCAATGTTCATCTACGACAAGATGATCTACAGATGGCTCAAGCTCTCTCTCGTGCTCGACATTGCGCTGTGCTTAATCACAGCTAAGTTTTGCCAATCACGTCGTAAGTTTTCTCGCACGTTATCTACCATAATCTGCAAAAGAAGGAATCAAGTCAGCCTTTTAGTGTGGCAAACTCGTGTTGGAAAGGTAAATTACTTCAATGCTGGCACTTTAAATTGCTACAACAAGCAAGCGCAAAAAAAATGTAGGAAGTGCTTTTACCGAAAAATAATTTTGGACAAGGATATGCTCACGCCCGGCTTCTCTCTAGTTGGGTAAAACTATGAAGAAAGGCGAAAGACATCATCGTTCTTTCGTGTTTGAAAAGGCAGGAGCGTCCCGCCCAGATAACCGAAGCGCGCTAGTTCGAGCTAATAAAAGGGCGTCTTCCGTGGCGTACCAAGTCTTTTGCGGGAAGGGGGGGGGGAGGCAACAAACACACACATACATATATACCCGTGTGCTCAGATTTGGGTACACGTTAAAGAGCCCCAGGTGGTTTAAATTTTCGGAGCCCTCCACTACGGCGTCTCTGATTATAATATGGTCGTTTTGGGGCGTTCAACTGCACATATCAATCAATCAACTCATGACCACTCAGTCAGCATGCTCGTACACTAACCACTACACCACAACACGTTACAGAAACGTCTGGAATGAAACGGGCTTGTGTACGCACCGATGAGTCGTTTGTACACGGCATGAACATATCCTGCCGTTATCCCAAATATTTAGGCACTATACCCCAAAGAACGGGGGCTTTACTCCGCAAGGAGGAAAGTGCCCCTCTTGCGGTTCCGTGTGCAATCTTTTGCGGACATTTCGTCTCTTGGAGGAGCAAAGAGCCCTTTTCGTCGTGATACTGCGCAGTTACTCCGGAAAACTTTTTAGAGTGTATGTGCGTGTGTACATCTGTGTGAGCTAATCCTTGCTGAGAGAGATAACTAAGCGGCGCTGCTAGTGTGTGCTTCTTTTCGGTCAGAGTTGTATTTTGAGTTGTAAAAGACAATTCAAGTTGAATGAAAAGTAACTAGCCCGACTCCTAATTAGGCCTTCATCGGGCAAAACACCATGGTCTGTCACTTTCTCGCTGGTCCGGTGGGTCAAGCTGGCGGGTAAGCCTAGAAGCTGAGCTTCTCACTGTACTCGAGTCCACTGCTTTATTCTTCGCAACTTATGCTGTTTTTCACTGGTAGATTCGGAGCAGGTTTTTTTGCTCCGTGGCGACGAAACCGCATTTCACTGGTAGATTCAGAGTGGATCCGCGCTTTTCACTGGTAGTTTCAGAGCAGCTCGCTCCGAGGCGGATTGCTCGCACTGCTCCGCCGACAAGTCGCAGATTCGGGCGGAAACACGACGAGCAGCATACGTCACTTCCGTCGTTGTACGTTGCTGAGTTTTGCAAAATGGCTGCGTTCGCTGCCTTGGCGGAACTTCTGTCTAGCGACGAAAGCACTTCAAGCAGCAGCTCGTCCAGCTCAGACGACGAAGACTTCGAGGAAAGACAAGCGCTATGCGAAGCCTTCTTTCGGGAAACTTTTTCGGAGTCCCACCGCGAACGTCCCAAAATTTTGGGGTTCATCGAGAACGTTGCGCGGCTGTACACAGACGAGCAGGTAAGCGCGGAGCTCCCTCTTTTCATAATACTACATGAACCTAATTTCATCTTTTTATCATTTCCTTCTCTGCAGTTCCGTCAAGACTTCAGGGTGTCGAGGCGTGTCGCGGAAACGTTGATCCGTGGTTTTGAAGGCTCGCGTCACTACCCATGCAGTGATCGTGGTGGGTCCCCCTCGAAAACCGCGGAAGAGCACATTCTGGTCTTTCTGTGGTAAGTCTGCACGCTGTTTTAAAAGTCATGCCTACCAGTGTGTATAATCTTAATGCTTTCAAGTGCTTCGGCGTAGAAGTACGTTTTTTCGTTGCGTGCGCAGAATTTTGACGGGGAGTCCAACCATTATAAATTTTTGTTCGTGTGTTTATGTGCGCGTGTGTAGAGAATATACACATGTGAAATTTAACAATTTCGGCGGCGTTAAATCTCCCTAGTAGCCTTCCCGTGGCTACGCCGCTTGTGCTTTTTGTCCTTGAAAGTTGCTAAGTGTGATGCAATGGAAACCAATGAAATATGACCGCTTGCAACTGCACAGCCAGAGAGAACAGTGTTAAGAGCTTCTACTTTTCTTACGGCTGCTAATTTTGATGCAAATATTTCATGCCTTTATTTCACAAAGCAGGCTTTACTTGATCACTTTCTTCCATAATGTGTGTTTGCTGTGTCAGGTTTGCTGCAAACAAGGCGTGCCTGAGGGACGTTGCTGGACGCTTTGGCATGGCAACTGCGACAGCATTTAGAGTCGTGGAGCGCACGCTCGAATATTTCCTTGATATAGCCGAAGAGGTAATATCATTTCCAGGAGATCTTGATCAGCTGTCAGCGGACTTCGAACAAGTAAGAATTTTAGGTATTTCACTGTTCCATGGCAAACACAACAAATGAGTTGTCTAATTGAAGCTTACTTTAGAGAATAGTCACATAATACATTTATTGTAGCAGGTTAAGCTGCCGTTGGGGCACAGGGGATGTGGTACTAAGTTGCGCTTGAAAGATGGGGTTATTGTCAAGCAGTCTCACTATCAAATGAGAAATGCTAGTGAAACATGTATTGTTCATTTACAGTGCACATAAAAGCAGGGTGTCTGCCAACGTGGAAAAGTCAGGGAATTTCAAAAAAACCAGGCCAGGTCATGAAAACTGACAGCAGTTCTGTGGGACCGTCACAAAAATAAGCATCGCCATTCATCAAAGCTTAAAAAGTCTCTCAGCTGCAACTACAGTGGGCTGCTGGAAGGTGTGTGAAAAAAAAAAAGGACAGTGCATAACTCTTGCTTCTGAGTGTAAACGCGAAAGGGACCCATAGAACACAAAGTTTACTGACATTTCAGTACCTCATATGGGAGAGAGCCTTGTTTAAAAGTCATGAAAAAGGCACAGTGTACTTCAGTACGCCTAAATACGTGACGTAAGCAGAGAGAGTACATTGTCAATAGCCTCCCATCTATCCTGTGCAGCGTATGTACAGTTGTCTGTATCTGGATTCGAGAGTTTTACAAGTCTATTTGGTGGTCTGTGATTCCGTGTGTTCAGGGAGGGCAGTCGAGGCCACGCCTCGTTTTGTGGTATCATATTTGTGTTGTTTAACTTTTACCAGTTTCACCGATGTACTGGTCACAATTATGTCAGCCTATGGCATAAACTAGACTAAGGAAATTTCTGCTCGGCAACTTGTCCTTCACATTGGCTAAAGCATTCTTTAACATCCATGTTGGTATATCCACTCTTTTGGTGCCTGTTGCTTCTACATATCACACGGCATATCTGACTCACGTCTGTAGATTTATGCATGTTTTGTCTATGCCACGATTTCGGCCCGGCTTGAAGGCCGTCTGGTTTTTCTAGGCTAGAACTGCTATCAGCTGAAGCTTGCTGGGCTACTCATGTCTTTTAATAATAATAATAATAATAATAATAATAATAATATTATTATTATTATTATTATTATTATTATTATTATTATTATTATTATTATTGGTGGTGCAACACCAAACGTCTTCAGCTACACACTTATGCTGGTAGCTCGTGTTTCAAGGGTAGAACTTGGGTAACTTCAGCTAAATTTTTCATTTCAGTTTTGTGAGATTGTGTAAATAAATCTGCAATTATTTTTCAGTGTCACGTCTACAGCAGAGTACGTAAATCAAGGTAACATGCGGACATTCATGATTCATCTATAGAATCAAGGAAACTGTTCCACCTTGACAAATTCATTCTCACCACCACATATTCAAATGTCAGCACTTTAAACGTTGACCCCAGCTTTCATTTCACTTCAAGTATGACAGCCCAGATAAATGCATGTGCTTGTCGTAAAAAAAAAAAACATTTTGCAGTATGGCTATGTTCTTGCAACGTTGTCGTTACTCGTTGTCAAGGCAAGATACATAGAATATGCGAGTAGTAGTTATTTACTTTTTTTGTTGAAAAGTATACTTTAGAGGTGTGCAAATTAGGCGGCGGCGCAAATCAATAGTAAATACATCAATCTAGGTCGAATCAGTTCTAATCTAATCTACATATAAATAGGTGAGTCAGTAAATACAGTAGTTCAGGTCGATCTAATTAAATCCAATCCACATCCTAACCGGCGTGGGCTACAGCCATTATAGTAAAATAGATTTTACTCCAGTGGCAGAACCGGCCAGGCTCCTGTGTTTTCATTTTACACGAATGCCACCAAATGGCACCACTTCTAAGTTTCTCAGCAGCTTTGACTGCGATGTCAAACGATCGCAGACACCTTCAAACTTCATCTGCGGTTACTCTTAACTTGTGTGTTTTCTTCCTGGTTCTTCGGAACATCAAACAGCTGACTTGCTCACTGCCTAGCTCAGGGGTTTTATTTTGGCCAGATTTACATGTTTTTTCACAATTGTCGCATGCCCTGAGAACATTTTGAGTGCGTCTGGTAATTATGTTTACCTTTATAGAGCGCCCGGTTTTTTTTTTCTACTCGGGTTTGTTTGCAGTGTACAGTGTTTTCCATGCAAACGTGGCAGTCATGGAATTTGCTTTGAATCATGATGGAAAACCTGGGAAATTCAAGGAATTTAGAAATATGAAATTGGTAGACACCCTGAAAGGGACCCCTGGCACTTAAAATTTCTAATGCCTTTTGCTGTGGTGTTCCGTACAATGATTCCATAGTTCTGGCATGTAAAAGACTTGTGTCACCTAAAGTTAACTCCGCTAAGACCAACAAAACTACTGCATCAAGTGTTAAGATTATTTACTTCAAGAAGTTCACTACAGGTGTGTTCTTTTTCTCTCACTGTCACAGGTGTCAGGAGTGCCCAACACGATCGGTTGCATTGACGGATCCTACATAAGCATCCGCTGCCCTGCAAAAAAAGTGCGTTCAACCTATGTGAACAGGCACAGTTATCCGTCACTGACACTGCAAGCTCTGTGTGATCACAAAAAGAAGTTTCTCGATGTGACTACTGGACACCCCAGCAAGATTCACGATTCGAGAATCTTCAGGACATCGAGGCTTTCTTCAAAGTTGCCGCATGTGTGCTGTTCCGGGAAGTACCACGTTCTCGGGGACGCTGCCTACCCGCTTCGAGATTACCTCATAACCCCATTCAGGAATTATGGTCACCTTGACGCGAGGCAGCGCGCCTTCAATTATCACTTTTCGGCAACGAGAGTGAAGATTGAGAATGCCTTTGGAGACCTCAAGGCCAGGTTCCGCCAGCTGCTGCACCTGGACTTTCTGTTTGTAGACAAAATGAACAAGTTCATTATAGCTTGTTGTGTTTTGCACAATATGTGCATTAATTGTGGTGATGTGGATGTGCCGCCGTACATCGATGATGAACATGCACCGTGGGAATGGGAGGCACAACCGGATGATGTTCCCCCCAACAATGGCCCGCTTGCATCAACTGAAGATGCACTGCGTCGCCAAGGCGAGGAGAAGCGTGAGCGCTTAATGCAAGCGATGCGCATTTGATTTAAAGTTAGGACTGCCTACGTGTACACAAAACAAGAAACGTTAAGGTGTTGTAAATTTTGTTTCGTGTTGTAGAGATTTCTAGCAGAAAATAACACTAAAAGACGGGACGAAGCAAGGACACAAACTACGGCGCTGACTAACAAGCAAATTCGTTTTATTCTTCTAATCCGCGTATATATACTTTACCACAATCTCAAGGAAACAAAAAAAATAGAATCATGATAAATGCATGCCCCTCATTTCTGAAGCGTATCATTTACAACGGCGGCGAAACATGCATCAGTTTCCCTTATATTTCCCTCTCTCTGAAGGAGTTACCTCTCCTGTCTTATTGAGCATTTCTTTCCTCCTGAGTCAGCCAACATTTGTGTGTGTCTTTTTTTTGCTTTTTCTCACCCTTCAGATTAGTGGTGGAGTGTATATACCTAGACTGGAAGAATAAGACACATTTGGCTGTTAGTCAGTGCCATGGTTGTGTCTCTGCCATGGTTGTGTCCCTGCTTTGTCCCATCCTTTAGCACTGTTTTCTACAGGAAACACTGTACTAACCAGCTAAAATGCATGCCGCACTGTGTTGTAGTGACTCATCTTGCTAGGGCGCAGCCTGATTTTTTTGTTTCTTAGCTTTGTGACACGTAGCAGCTTCCACATAGCGTGAGTCAACCCAAGATGTTTGCAGGAATCTGACTGGATCAGTGTAATTGTTTCCTATGCGAAGCCATCAGCATGCTTATTGCTGACTAGTGCTAACGCCGCAGCGTGTTGGTCGGTATGGCTACTGCAGCTGAAGATAGCTGGTGATATTGATAGTAACTGCACTCTTCGTGCTGGTGAGACACGAGAAAGTGACAAAGTCAACCGGCCAAACATAGCTGGGCTCCAGCTCTCGTCAGCCACCACAAACATTCTGAGAAACATGTAGTGACATTGGCATAAGTCCAAGCTAGTGCAGGCTACACTGAGGAGCATTTGTGTTAATGGAACAATGTCACCAAAATTACGAGCTTGAAATGTTTGTGTTGTTTGTCTTGCAGTTGGGGCACTATGCTTGTCAGTTAAACCTGTCGCTTCGAGGAATATTCGTAATGAACACCCATCCCGACTCATTGTTTCCCACGCATGGTGCCCAAATTCAAAAAGTGCGCTCTGAACGTCACAAAAGCCCGAGTCTACATAGTCTTATGACTCCTGAGATTGTTCGCTGTGTAATTTTTTGTGATTCCAGTAGTAGTTTTACAGTGATGCCAAAATTAGTCACAAGGAGCCATTCTTGCATTAATTACACAGTACATTGCAATATTTATGATCAAAGTTTGGGGACTACCGGACACAATGCTCTTAATTAAAGCATTCAAGTCAAAACAAAAATTTGTCAGGGGTCCTTTAGGCATGGTGACTGCTGCTGTGAGAAATGGCTTCTTTGTCATGCAATTTGGTTATTGCTTGTGCATTAACATTTCATTTGCCTGATGAAAATTTGCATGGACAAACGTTCTGCATTTCTTAGTCTTTGTTCAGCTTTTCTTACCATCAAAACGGCGTGAAATTATAATGATCATTGCAACTTTGTCTTGTAAAAGGGCCCTGGAACCCTTATTTCACCTCAACAACAAACATTGTCAATCTGTTATCAATGCGCCTGCCAACGTGCACATGTGTACAATGCTTACAATAAACATGCTTTTCACATTTTATTCATTTTTCTTCAAGTTGAAAATTTCACGGAGAAGATTCATCTTTTCTTTGTGCATTTCTTCTCGTCGCTGTGTTTTAGCAAGTCGTCGCTCTTCCCTCTTGCTGTCTCTTTCAGCCTTTCGCTCTGCTCGCCGTTCATCTAACTCCTTCATTTTTTCAAAGAAGGTTTGCAGGTGGAGCTCGCGTGCTGAATTCGGGCGTTTTCTTTTTGAATCAGGAGTGTCGTCCTGCCCAACGGAGCTGGATGGAGAGTGTGACGTTGACGAGCTTGAACCAGCAAGTGGAACAGACTCGGTGGATGACTGTGGACATGTCTTTTTTGATACCACTCCACTTGCGTCGCGTACCACTTCTGGTTCCAAGCTGTCGTCCAGCCACTTGATTTTTCAAGCTCGGCCTCGTAGGGGACTTCTTGTGGGGAACAGCCAGACGTATTATTTTTCCCAGCTGCCACATTTTTTCTTTTCAGTACGGTTTTGTACCGAGAGCAGCACTGCTCACCAGTTCTCATTACACCCAGTTTATTATTAATGTCTGTTGCAATTTTTTCAAACATGGCCTTTTTGTTGCGAAATTTTTTCAGAGGGCCAACTTGAGGGAAATATGAGGCGTAGAGGTCCAGCAGCAGCTTCGTCTCGCCACTCGTCCACTCACACCCTGCAGCTGAAATATGCATTATACACACATAAAATACATATAACTGGCATTAATAGACTTTTTTGATACAGGGCACGAAGCTATATGCTCTCTGAGCCATAGAACACTTACTGTAAAGCATTAGTACTGTCACACTGTTTTGGCACAGCAAATATTGGGTGCTGTGGGGATCGCTTTGCATATCAGAACAGACAATCATGCAAATTCATAATATTACTATACATAACTTATTCACAGCATAATTTTCTTAGAGAGTAAATTTGAAAACACTGCATAATAAATATGGGGCCTCTTCGTGCAGCTGACTATTCGTTGAATTCAATTTTATTATTTAAGCACCCAATATTGAGAAGCGTGAGCAAGAAGCCATTAAATGGTTTTGCGTAATTCGTGGTTTTTTTGAGAGGGTTTGCAATCTGCTGGACCTATCTTCATCCTAATGCCACTAGCATGTTTGTGTATGCATGCTTACCACGTGCAGGAGTCCCTGGCTGACAAGCCCGACTTGGTGACGCACCAGTAGACGCTGCAGAATCTGTGTTTGATAATTGAAAAGCATTGTAGTATGTTAATATGTGTTAATTTTAAGCAGGTACACAATTTTCTTCAAGTAGTCCTTACACGTTGCTCGTCAAGGCATTGTCCTCTACATATATAGACGACTGTATACAAAACTAGTTCTACAGAGACACATGTAGACCAATTTACCATTTCCTAAAAATGCGCCCTGTGTATGTGACAAAGCGTCGGTGGCGTCACACTGTGTAGCACCTTCAAATAGAGAAAAAGAAAAGACATTTGCGGGTTAACACCAAAAGAGTAGAGGTCAAGAATCACCAAGAAAACGTTACTTCTCTAGTAAATTTTTCATGCATGTATTCATGCGCGAATACAGAGATCGCCATGCATTTTTATTAAAGGTAATACAGCAGCTTGGTGAGCGCTGCGAAAATTCCGGCGCTTGTGATATTCTAAATAGTAGGACTGTAAGGTGTTGGGTAAGCAACTGCTCTGATTAAAAAAAAAAGCCTGCTCACAACATGCCGTATTTTTGCGAGCGCCGATTGCGGCCGTTACCACGTGTACCCGCATGCTTTACAATTATCTGACCAGTCTTCATGCGGAGCTATCAAAGTTAGCATTCCGTGCAGAGTTTATTATCAGCGTCAAGTACGTCGCACTTACCGTTCAGATCGTTGCCGCTGTTTCTGAAAACGCCCAGCAACAGCCGACGCACAGCCGGTGTCAATTCCGCGTGCTCGTCCATACTTGCTACACAACTGCTGTTCGCGACTGCGTTAAAGTGTTCTACAAAGCTTTAACTGCGTGGTCGAAATGCGCGCCCTGCAGTGGCGGCCAAAGTTGCCAAGGAAACGAAGAGAGCGGAAAAATAAACTGTTTCCGGAACCGGTTTGCGTGACGTATGCATAATCAACTTCCGGGGCACCTCTCACGGAGCATTCTCGTGTTTCACTGGCAGAGGTGGCTTCGTGCGATCCGAGTGCTCGCTCCGGGATTTCGGCGGTCGCTCTGAATCTCCCAGTGAAAAACACCATTAGTAAACTGCTGCCATCGCTCCTGTAAGCAAGGCTGATCGGATTTCTCAGAGACTAAAGCGCCAACCTTTTTGTGGCGCTTCAAGTACGGCAGGACTAAAGCACTTAAAAAGATTCGTCACAATTATCGGCTCACAGCAGCTTCGATAAAGCAGTGATTACGCTAGTCATTTTTCATGAAGGAAAACAGTTTTACTGAAGCAGCAAATGCTCTGACTGGTCCACAAAACGACTGCTCGCTTCAATCCACAACAAAGCCAGTACAAGACGCTTTCGCGCCGTAGCTCGCTTTGCAACACGGAGGAAGGAAAAAGGTGCAATGCTACAGTACAATTAAGGTGCGAAAGAGTCGCATAGGCGGCCCGCACCGCAAGGAACATTCAAGGACAATTGTCACAGCAGAAATCTAGGAAAATTTATACTATGTTAAGACATTCCCTAGCCGGTAACATTTTCATTTCCTCGTAACAGTACAATTGAGTGATTACTGTGGTGAAGGAAAACTTCGCTTTGGTTGTTGGTTTCCCCAGCGTGCAGCTGACTGTGCCCACTGTCAAAAGTGGGGGGGGGGGGGGGGTCAGCTTCTTTAAACTTTTCTCAGTGGTGGGGCTCGCGCCCCCCTTGCACCCCCGGCTGATACGCCTGTGGGCGTCTTGTTGTTCCTCTCCTTGCATTTTCGCTGCGCGCCCGGTACAGGTCGAGATACGGAATGCGCGCCATCAGCGTGACTCACCACTTCAAATGGCCAGCGCCGCGTTTTCAAGAAAGGATGCGCAAGAAAGCCAGATGACGATTATTCATGGTGTTTCAGTACCGGGGACTCCCAGCCGCCCAAGCATGCACGCTCTTGTGCTCCTTTGTACTCATGCAGCTGCACCCTCGGAGAACACAAAGGAAAAGAGCACGCGCACTCAGGCTGCTCGGGGCACCCGACACCCATTTGACTCGATCTTTAGTGTGCTTCACAGCTTGAAATAGGAACGAATGACAAGTACGCAAAAAGGTAGACTACCGAGCGGGCCAGGTCCTGGCATTGCTTTTCTTTGGGAAAGCCGGTGGCAGTGAGAATCGAACTCTCGCATTGGAGGCGGGCCACTGTTGCGGTGTAAATTTCTGCAAACCTAGCGTGGCCATCATGAGAAGGCGGCCTCTCCATTCTGCTGTTTTCCATCTTTCATTCCGTGTAAATAAATTGCCTGCCGCGGTGGTCTAGTGGCTAAGGTACTCGGCTGCTGACCCGCAGGTCGGGCGATCAAATCCTGGCTGCGGCGGCTGCATTTTCGGTGGAGGCAAAAATGCTGTAGGCCCGTGTGTTCAGATTTGGATGCACGTCAAAGCACCCCAGGTGGTCGAAAGTTCCGGTGCCCTCCTCTACGGCGTCTCTCGTAATCATATGGTGGTTATGGGACGTTAAACCCCACATGTGAATCAAATCCCTAGATAAATTATCAAGGAACCTTAATGCCATGACGCTGCGAGTACACCCCTCGGCCTCGGTGAGAAAGCACATCCTGCGCGAAGCATACACTATGAACAGCTCGTCCAAACTATAGGAGTCGTGCGTGGCTTTATGAGATGTCTAAAGGCGGCGCGCGAAGTAAGCGCGTTCTCTGCGTTTAGAGGCTCATCCTCCTCTTCGGTGGGCGGGATTGACGCCATGCTGTTTGACGCCGAACAACGGACAGCGTCCGAACGGCCTAGGTGGCATTGTATCATGACGTGAACTGACGTTGCTTTTCTCCCTTGCCATTCTTCCCGATGTAGCTTCTAGTGCGATCGTTAGATGAGATAAACCGCTAAACAGTAAGATGAAAAAAAAATGGCAGATCATACTTGCCATGGGAATCAATGTCAAGTGAAGCATGTGGAGAGAATGTGCCTGTGGTGTAAATTTTTCATTTAGCGAAACGTTATAAAGTTACGTACGCTTAAGATGTGTACTAGTATGGTACGCACATATATTGAACAGTCCTATATGCTCTATGTAACCAGTTGTTTACAGTTGCATAAAGGTGCCAACAGCATATGTAACGCTTTGTGCATGCATGCGAGGATAGTAGCGCTGGCTAGTGCTATGTAGGCAACATCAGTGAAATCAGGGTGACGCCTGTATCGTAGAAGTACCTATTTTATGTTTATAAAATTACAGTACCCAACACTTCACCAACATTACGCCTGCTTTTTCTGACCCAGGGTCGAGACCTGGCATGGCTTTGTGGTAGAATACTTGATTGCCAAGCAAAGCTTTTGGGTTTGATTCGTGTTGAGACCTTGATATTTATTCTTCGCATTCGTTGGGTCTACACTGCCAATGTCAGTTCTTGCATTTAAATTACCGGTGTTTGTTATCGCCGTTCTTGTCAATCACCTGTAGCTTATACTCACATCGTGGTTTTGGGTATGTGTCCAGAGGAAAGCGTTTAATGATGTACACGATGGGAGTTCTGTGTTGTTTATGTCATGACCATCCATATATATTACTCAAGCCCTCTTATCCTCCCATGTAGACGGCTATAGAGATAGATACGTGGCTCAAAGTGCGTGAGTTCTGCGAAGGAATGATTCGTATTTAATTATAATGAATTGGTTTAGGTTAATAACTTGTACTGTGAAAAGCACTAATTTCACCATCGTAGGCATATATATGTGCCGGAGAAAGTCAAGGTTTAAGTTTTATTTCACGGTGAAATTTCTACACTTGGCGTCACCATTCAATGTGAACTTTATTTGAATTCTGGCAACATTGGCTCAACAAAATTTGTTGAAACTTGGTGCCTAGAATATACTTATATTCTATGCACTATTGTACTGGAAGTCTCTGGCCCCCTCAGAGGACAACGTACTTAATTTTTACTGATTAGGAACTCAGGTTGGTTGGTTACACGCTGCTCGTCAGATTGTTTGGTTACACGTAGGTGCTAGCGGACTTTGTCAAAATTTATGATGGCATGAAAATTGGCGTCAATTTCAAAAGTGGCTTTGCCACATGCGTTGTGTCTTCACGTGTTTGGTGCTTACCAAGCGCCTTCTCTCGGCAAGCGCAGTAGTTTACTCATATAAGAAAAAAGAATGTTTTTGTCTTTAAAGGGGCCCTGAAACACTTTTTCAAGTAACCATGGAATGAATTCACTGGAAGAGCTCATTGCTTCACGAACTCAACGCCACAATAATTTCAAGAATTCGTCCAGTGCGAGGGGAGTTGCAAAGATTTCTCGCACGCTGCAATGACATTCTCTTTCATCCCCACGAAAACGCTGGAAGCTAAGCAGGGAGGGATGGCAGGGGCAAAGCAAATACGTTACCTGCGCCTCGTGACCTTGAGCACTTTTTTTTTTCGAATGCGCGGCTTCAGTGTGATCGTGCGCGCACGCGTGAACAAGCTGCGGCCTCCCGCGGTGATATTTGTAATGACTGAGCGGGCCATGTTCAAGTCAGCTAATGGCTGATAGATGGGCTTTCTACGAGTGATTTTTTATGCATCTTCCGTCATTTGTCGAGAGAAGAGAAAGCAAATTTTAGTCGAGTTTGATAATTTATTGTGAATTCCAGGCCATGTGCTGTATTATAATATTTGGCTCGCGTGTTGTCGGGAGCCTCTACTACCGATCGGCAGAGTTTTCTGACCATGCTCAAAAAGTTTTGCAGGGCCCCTTAAAATTGGGGCCTCGCTATGATGGCATGTGACTCCGCTCATTCTTGACGGATTTACAAAATTTTTGCCGCAATCTATTTGAGAGCCAATTACCTGAAATACTGGGGTCATTCAATGGTGACTTGGAAAAGTGGTTAAGGACACCTTGAAGAAAGCTGGAGAGGCTTACCTAGATGACCTGAACGAATTAATCCAGTGCATGGGCCAGACAGAAAAGTCATCGGCCAACTGGCTCATGGCGTCAGTAGGCGCCCCTTGGGGCAAGCTCATATTCATCCCCCCATTGAGGAAGAAATGAGCCTGCCTTCCAATACTGTACCCTACAGAAGTGTGTCAAACCACTATCAATGACACTGAGCTGTAATATATAGTGCCACTTCTCATGCTTTGCAGACTTATTTGCCATTACCCAGCACTGCACTTTATGCAATGAAAAGCTGAAACATGGTGACAGGCCCCTAAATGCTTTGGGGTTCATTGTCAGCTAGGCTCCTCCCGACAATGCAATGTGGCTGCAGCAGGCTACTGTCAGGCATCATAGCCTTCTCAAATTACCGATAGAGTTTGACACAATATCAACTACAAAAATAAATATCCACTAAGATTTTCTTGCACATATGCATTTCTTATCCAGTGCTCAAAACTGGCAAAATGATTTTGGACCAGCTCAGCTGGAAAGTGGTTAAAAGTTTTGAACCACAAAGTGAAACACTAAGGCAGCTTAGACTCATAAATTATTATTTGAGAAGCTTATATTATTGACATTCACCATTATAGGTTGGTTTTGTTTGAGAGAAAAATTGTCAAACCTAGTTTGAATTTTGCACCACACTTCAGCACCTAGGAAGTCGCTGAGTCTCATCTGTTTTTTTTTTGTTATCGCCATATTGGCTAAATAAAATTGAAGCTGGCTCCCTTATAAAACAATAAAGTTCATTTGTACCAATTAAGAGCAGAAGATTGGCCCAGTTGGTGATTACTTGGTCGAAACAAAGTGCAATAGACGGGACAAAAAATTTGTGACAGGCTCCTGATGAAACACTCCATCTGTCTCCTTTTTTTTCCTACATATTACGTTCTATTTATATTTACTAAGTACCAATAAAGAATGTATGCCTTTGCACATGCCACCAGAATCTGTGATACCATGGTACGTAGGTGCAGCAACATCAATGCTGCATCACCACCTGTATTTTCTTTTTGTGCGTTTCCTAACTTATCTCATTGTCGTAAAAGTGGTGCTTCTGATATTGTGAAAAAGTAGTTTAATTAAAAAAAAAAAGATTTTCTTTATACAGTGTATCTGTTTGAAAAAGCTGCGAGTCCCATGGTCCTGGTTT